CGTCTCGTGGGCTAGACTAACAAAACATTAAAAGGCAACAACGTCACTTACAACATTATCACCGCATCTCGCGCACCACTGATGACGCTCCCTGATGCACACCTAACATTCAAATGCAAATGTTTATTTTAAATACGACCAATATTAATTCTTTATTCACAATCTCCTCATCACAGGCAGGCACAGCACTCATTTCAGCATGTGTTCGTGTGTGCTGTCTGCGTCACTCATAGTACGTGCCTATATCGTGCGCTATATCGAACAATTTTTCTATCGATATCGAAGAAGGTGTACCGTCGATAAATATCGATACCGTTTTATCGCCTAGGCCTAGCACTAGGGTTGTGTGATATTGACAAAAAAATTATTTATTTTTTCTGGGATTTTATCGAATTAGACAATATTTTGCTGAGTGTGTTGTGTTGTTATCTTAAGGACTAACATGGACAGCTGACTCTTAAAGTTTTGATATTCTTCATATTCTGTGTGGTGATCAGTTCACAGCAGTGATATAAATTAATCTTTTCCAATAAGGTAAAATTTTTAAAGTTTAACTTTTTTTTTTTTTTTTTTACCTCTTATGGGCATTCTTACCTTTATAAAGCCATTTCTTCTAAAAGTGTGCATCATTCTTGCATTTAATCAGTGAATTAGAATCATAAGACATTTGGGCTGTAACCAAACAAATGAAATCAGTATCAACAAAATTAACAGTATCAACAAAACAATGCAGAGAAAACACTGAAGCTGCATCTAAAGTGTCATGTAGATGTATTTACACACTGTTTAATGCAGGACATGAATGCATTTAACCTGCGATTACAAATGCATAAATGTTTTGATATAGCCTACATAAAAGGTTGAACACTGATATTTGAAATGATTTAATGAAAAGAGAGCCTACTTTAAAGGGGGTCATATGATGCGATTTTAAGTTTTCCTTTCTCTTTGGAGTGTTACAAGCTGTTCGTGAATGGATAAGATCCCTAAAGTTGCAAAGACTAAAGTCTCAAACCCAAAGAGATATTCTTTATAGAAGTTAAGACTCGTCCACGCCCTCCTAAAACGCCTCGTTTAAACACGCCCCCACATGTCTACGTCACTGTGTGGGAAGATTTGCATAACACCGCCCAAATGTTTACGCAAAGAAGGAAGGTGTAACTTTTATTCTCGCTATAGTATTGTTGCCGCTTCCGCTATGTCGTGGAGATGCTGTGTTTCATTGTGAAAGCAAAACTACTTTGTTTGGTCTTCCAAAAGAGGACACAACTAGAATCAGTGGTTAAGTTGTATTTACAACACTGTTCCAGAACAGTTCAAACCAAATATTCAGGTGTGTGCAGCGCATTTTACGGAGGATGAGGACTTTAAAACTGCAGCACTGCAGGACAGTGGAGTAGATTGTATGTTTTTACATTTAAGGTATATAGGTGTCACGACTGTTGCAGTGTCCGAGGAAATTTCGCATACTCAGTCTAGTGTGACCAAGGTTTAATAAAGTGAAGTCTGTAGTGAAATCGTGTAGTGTGTCTCTAGCTTAAGACAAAGCTGGCAGACTTAAAGAAGAATTGTTGAATAAAGTCATTATTTATGTTTTCTTTGCGCACAAAGTATTCTCGTAGCTTCGTAAAATTACGGTTGAACCACTGATGTCACATGGACTATTTTACCAACGTCCTTGCTACGTTTGTGGGTCTGGGAATATTTCGGTTGCACTGCTTTCGATGGAGGGTGAGAGAGCTCTTGGATTTCATCAAAAATATCTTAATTTCAAACGTAACATTTTTTTTTTTTTTTTTAATTTCAAAGTTCCAAAGATAAATGAAGGTCTTACAGGTTTGGAACGACGTGAGGGTAAGTAATTAATGACATCATTTTAATTTTTAGGTGAACTATCCCTTTAAAGGGCACCATTTATGCCACTTTTTACGAAATGTAATATTGGTCTTGGATGTCCCCAGAATATGCCTGGGAAGTTTTAGTGTTCCTGTTAATAATTATTAAATTATAAGTTTCAGCTCAAAATACCCCACAGATCATTTATTATAGCATCTGGAAAATGTCATTTTTGAGGCGTGTCTAAAAAAAGATTTGGTTTGTATCATTATAAATGCAAATGAGCTGCATATTCCCACCCCGTCTCCAGAAGAGGTCATCGCGTATACTTGTCTCTGCTTAGTTTGCACACCTACCTACAGCCGGTAGAAGCAACATGACTGTGCAAGAGAACTGGTGTTTCAGCCGTATATATGTGAAGCCGAGAGTGCGGCGCTGATCAATTAAAATACTTCAGTAACGTACGCACACAAATATGGTTAAAATGCTAAGCACTATAATGACATGACATTCACAAAGCAGTCTGGAGTGAAATGATTTGCGCAGACATAAACGTATTTAGGTAGATTTTGAGGTGCATTACCTAAAAATAGAAGTAATCTGCTGCGTCCTCAGTGGCTCAGATGTTGGGAGAAAATACAGACTCATATTTTCAGTCTTACACCCAAACACAGAACAACGGGATTGCTTACGAGACATTGTTGACGTTACAGCTGCTCGAGAGCAGAGAAAATGGAGGACTGCGTACAACCGTTGAGGGCAGAAACTATGGCAATGCAGTACTGTCAATCAGCCCCTGTGGCCCAGCCCTTTGCAATGTGATGTCACATTGCATAGAGAATCAAAACGGCAGGCCTAGTGAGACTGATTTGATTTAATGGGGATTAAAATATAAAGAGTGGGTGAATTTTTATCATTGTTGGGTGGTTTATGTCCAAACACCATGTAAAAGTGGATTTTGCATAATAGGTGCCCTTTAAGATACTGTGAAGCTTTCATCAAATCCTTCCAACCACACTCACCACACTGAATTTGATGACTTTCACTAAACTTGGAATAAAAATACCATATTTTTCCAAGCTGTTAAGATCTGTGTTAGGATAAGATGTGTTAAAGATATGTATATATTTATGGATATAAAATATAAAGTCCTTCAACAAGCTGATTTGCTTATTTGGGTGTTTCTGAAATGTCTGTGCCGACATGTGTTTTCTCTAGTCTTATCTTAACAGACCAAAGACAATAAGCATAACATGTTTTTCAATGAAATGGATGTTATATATTTTATAAAAAAATATTTATTCTTTAATACTTTGTATTTTTGTAGATTTCATGATACTAGGCAATATTACCATCTATTGTTTTCAATTCATACAGTGTTTGTGAAAGTATTACAAAAAAAGAAACATGTATTACCATGGTGTAACCACTAGATGCCCGTATAACCCATTGCATTTAGATATGTATGTATGCATACATATTTAGACATTATAAAAAAAGACTACTTCATTGTGGCTGATTTGTAGATTGTACTTAAAATTGTATCAAATTTTTCATAAAAGTCACCACGTTTTGTACCATTTTGATGTTTATTCAGAACTGATTAATTAAAAGTTGCTGTTTTTGAGTACATATCAATCAATTGAATCTGAAGAGCATTGAATATTTTGAACAAACAAGGGCTAGCAGCATTAAGACAAGGAACCGATTGATAGCAATGCTCAATAAAGAAATAGGTTTGAGTAATAATTAACCCAAAAATGTATTTTACCCACTGTAAGCCATTTCTTTTTAGCTTCAGTCCTAATCCCAGTCTTTTTAACATCTGTCCTTGAACTGATGTTCAAGTACTCTGCCATAACAAGCAGTCTCATTATGTGACATGTTAATGTATAGAATATGGGTCATAGATTCAGATGTTAGAATCAGAACTAACAATTTAATAAACAGATGTTTTTATGTCTTTGCAGTATTACAGCTGGTGGAGTAGTTACACAGAAGCCATCAACTACCTGATGACCATTCCCAAATACCGCATCCAGGCTACTGAACTGGCCAAGCAGCAAGGTCTGCTGAATAGAACCAAAGAGAAGGGCAAGAACCGGCGCTCCAGAGAGGAGATCCGTGAAGAGGAGGAGCAGATTATCAGAGACATCATCAAGAACAAGATAGACATCAAAGGCGGCTATCAGAAGCCCAATGTATCTGATATTCTGCTTTGTCAAATCATTCTGTTCCCTTACCATCTGTGCACCTATGTGGCATGGAACTTCTCGTGGTTTTACCGTTTCACCATTCGCGGGGAGGAGTATGGGGATGAGGAGAGACTTTACATTATCCGCAAGTACATGAAGATGTCACAGGCTCAGTTTGATAGTCTGGACAACAGCCTGATAGAGACTTTCCTCAAGCAGCAGCTCTGGATCAAAGAGAATTATGAGGTTTGAGAAGATTTCTTTCATTTTGTAGCATTGATTCCACAAAATAGAGCAGTGATAATGTTTTTTGTAGACCAACCTGGAAGTTACCATCCCCCTGGTTCCCTCAACAAAATTCCAATAGTTTTCCATTTGGATTATTGCAGAAAAGAATCCCAATGACCAACAAACATGTATGATTCTTACACATTTGGTTCATCATGAAAAAACTTCACAAATGAAAGCAACTTTTATTACATTTTGAAGCCTAAATACAATCTGCAGAAGTATATAGCTGAACTATTGATCTATTACATTATGACCATCTACCTAATAACCTTTAGCCCGCAAAACATCAGCCATGTGGTGAGGCATTGATCCGATGAGATATAGATAGGTCTCCTGGGGTATCTGGTACCATAATGTCAACAGGAAGTCCTCCGGTTCCTATACATTGCGGGGTGGTGGTGATGTAGTGCGAATCCACTTTTCCAAGTCGAACCACAAATGTTTGATTGGGTGAATTTGAAGGCCAAGGCATTAACAGAAATTCACTATCAGGTTCCTCCAACCATTTCTGGATCCTGGCAGTGTGGCATGGTGCATTATCCTGTAGATAATTGCCATCACCGGCAGGGAACAGAGTTGCCATGAATGAGTGCACTTGGTCAGATACCTGACAAGCTGTCAGGAATTGTGCTATTGGGATAATGAGGCCTAAATTATCCCAAGAAAACATTGCCCACAGCATAACTGGCCTGTGTCTGCCCCACAGTGCATCCAGGTGTCATAACTTCTAGGGCTGGGTAAATAAATATGATTTTAATAAATTCTTATTTTTACAAAACTATATTGATTCTTAAATCCCAAGAATTGATTAGTCTAGACTGTTTTCAGTGAATAAACGTAACTTTGTAGCACAGCTCCTATCCAGTAAATCGCAATAAGCTTTGTGCTTTACTTTTAATATGAAACAAAATCTCTTGACTTCAAATTCTGCCCATAGTATTAAATTATTCAATAAAAAATAAATACCGTTTTGGCGCTGTTTAATGTGGAGTGACAGATCGCTGTAGCGCCTCAGCTCGAGAAATGGCAGTGGGAAGTGTGCGTGAACTGATCAACTCCTCCTCAATACCAGTTTCAGCACAAAATAAACATGAATAAACATCCGAAGGTATGTTAAAAGAAAGAGTACAACTTAACAAAATCTGTATTCTGTCTCATGTAATCGCTAAATCAGTGTTTGAATATATGCTACATATATTCGTTATCATTTTTGTACTTCAATCTTTAGTTTGAATTTGTTTGAATAAATCCGTCAAGTTTTTATGACAGTCATTTAAATGTTTATATAAAAAAAGAGTAGAAATACTATGTAATTTTAACTTTAATTATTCAGTGTAATTTAAGTGGTTGTATACAAATCAGTTAATTTTAACCTTCAATATTGTAGTAATGTAGCACCAACTGACTCATTTATATTTTACAGCATTAGTTGAAATTTTTTTTTTCTTGAGAAAATTTGGCATGTACTGTACCTGATAAATATCCAAAATAATTAATATTGAATCAAATCGAGTCGAATTGGTAATCAAATCGAATCTCAAGCTTGTGAATGAGAATTGAATCATGAAATTTGTGTCAAAACCCAGCCCTAATAGCCTCTGTTGGTAATCCACGTATGTGCGCTTGGCCATCGACGTGATGCACAAGGAATCTTGAATCTTTCTACCAATCATCAACGGTCCAATCTCAATGATCTTGGGCCCATTTCATGCATTGTTGGCAATGGTGTGCAGTTAGTATGGGGACCTGGCTGGGTCGTCGGCTACACAGGCCCATATACGCAGAAGACCGCAATGAACTGTGATACATTGCCCTGGTCACAATTTTTGTAGCTGCTGGTGACTGCCATTTCCAAGATCCAAGTTCTGAAGTGCCGTGTCATCACAATTTGTCCTTTATCAAATTCTGATAAGTCGGCAGCTTTTCCCATCTTGACACCGAACACTACTGATTGAAAGCTGTAGTCCTTGGGTGGTATATATACTGCTCTGTGAATTGCTCCTGTGGCACCATTTGGTTGCCGGGTGCACTCATTGCTCTTATCTTGGGTTGGTCATAATGGCGCATAAGTGTATAACTCAGTATAAACACTCAAATGTTGATTTACTTATGAGGGATGTCATGATAAATTGATTTGTGGATCGATTTTGCGATTTTTCCGAATGCATCGCGATTCTCTCTTGAATTCAGAAAATTGCAGAATCGATCCACAAATCAATTTATCATGACATCCCTACTTGTATTTTCTGCATTTCAGTGGAATATAAAAATACGTTTTTCCTCGCTTGTGAGGATTCATTTTCCTGAAATCTATCTAGGAGAAACAATGCTATTAAAAGTATATTCTAGAAAGTACCACAAAATGAGATTATTTCCCGCAATATGTAACAAAAACAAGACTTAAGGGTAGAACAGAGAGATCACAAATTGATTGTTTGCACAATATCTCATTTTATCATCCCCAAATTCATGATTCTAATCGTCTTGGTTATGTACGTAACCTTGGACCACTGAGTAGAGAAAAATGCTTCCTCAGCAGAAACACTACCCTCTAGACTGCCTGATCTCACATGCCATTATTTCTGGGTCCAAAGCACTCTAGATGACAAAAGAAAATAACAAACAGTATTTATATGCATTGACAATGTAATGATGTAATTGACCGAAATCTCAGTTGGCTAGACAGTGATTTTACGAATTGTTAAAATATTAGTGTCTGGAAAGCCATGAGCCCAGAGACTTAATTGTACACTGAATATTTTTATTTTTAAACCCTGCACTTACAGAAATAAAGGTTCTTTATTTGCACCTATGGTTCCAATAAGTACTTTAAATATCCATGGAACATGGATATTTACAAAAGGTTCTTTAGAATTTACAGTGTTCTTTACATTAAGAAAAAAAAATCACAGAAAGGTTCTTTGGGAAACTAAAAATACTATTATGCCATTGCTGTGAAATCCTCTGCTAAAGGTGCAATATAAATGCATAGTGCTCATAAACAGCTTTCAAGATAGTATTCTCACTTAAGGCTTGGTAGGTGTGAATCCGGAAACCGTATTAATGGAAGGTTGGTATGTCGCAACTTAAAGGGGTCCTATTACGCTTTTTCACTTTTTTAACTTCAGTTAGTCTGTAATGTTGCTGTTTGAGCATAAAAAAATCTGCAAATTTACAAAGTTCAAAGTCCACTTCAAAAGGAGTTATTTGATTTAACAGAAATCACTTTTCAAAAAATACAACGAACACTCGTTTTGGACTACAACGCATATTTTCCGGGATTTGAGATATCACAAATACAGATGAATGGGACGAGACCTGGTTGAGCTGCACTAGAGAAGGCAACGAGTGTTATCACTATGTTGGAGACACGCTAGCTTTACCAAGGCAGACAAAACTTAGAGTGATTGCAGTCATCCGGGTTTAAATCGTGCTCAAATTGATTTGATTTTGAAGCAATATTTACACTGAAGCTCGCAGCAGGCGGCTATGGTAAGGGGCATGACATTTCCCGACCAGGTGCCGAGTGCTGCCAATCACAACACACACTGGCCCAGCTAACCAATCGCAGCACATTTTGTATTTCAGAAAGCGGGCTTTCATTTGATACAGGAACTATTCGAGCTGCTCATGCCAGACTGGGAAGAGAGGTGTTGTAATAATGTAAAATATGTGAAAAATAATGTGTTTTTCGAACAACCTAGTATGAGAGCCTGTTCTAGTACACCCCCAAAACAAAATCAAGATTTTGTAAAAGAGCATAATAGGACCCCTTTAAGCAGATGGGAACACGTCCCAGTCGTAATGGCTGATCTTAAATGAACTATTACAGAAAAAAACAATCTGAATAAATTAATAACAGTTGTACTTTCCACATTTTTATTTTGTACAAAAAGTGATCATTAAAGGTGGGGTAAGCGATTTTTCAAAAATGCTTTAGAAAACTGATTCGGGCCGACTAGCAAAACAAACTTGTAGCCAATCTGCAGTAAGGGGCGTGTCTACTCATGATGTGGATGAGAGAGAGTTCAGTGCACGGGACAGACATTAGAGAGCCGAGCGACAGAAAGATAGAGATGGTGGATAAAAAACAAAAGAGGAAAACGTCTGCGGAACAAAACAAAGCATAAGGCAAGAAGTAGGACCCGTGTAAATATCGGATCAGCTTTCCAGCGCTGGAGAGAACCCAAGGAGCGGAAGGCCTGCGATCGGACGCCGGGGTTGCTTTGTTTCTTCTCGATAGGTGAGTAATACTGTGTCTGAGCCTCAACAGCTAAAGTCTGTCTACACTGGACGCGACAAAGCAACCGTTGAAAATCATTTGAAATTTGTGTTAATGCGTCATAAATAGAACGCAGCAGCAGTTTTCTGTCTGGGATTTGTCATGTCGTGCCACGCAGCATCCAGTGTAGACCATAGATATGTATATATATCTATGGTGTAGACAACATCACTGATTATAATGAGTTCTATGGTATTTTGTCGTGCACGCCACTCGCGTCTGGTGTAGACACGGTGTAACATTGGTTTTGCTTTGTTTCACAGAACTAATCGTTGCCTGGGTTGCATTCGTATGTGTGGGGCGGAGCTATCAAAATAGGGGCGAGACCCTTTTGGGGTAGGGGCGTGTTTGTTTTGGTGATTTCAAATGTCAGCATCGGCTACCAGAAATTGCTTACCCCACCTTTAAGAGTGCAAGAAAGTAAGACTTTAATTTAGTAACTTGTAGATCCTACTTTAGCACAAAACCTCTATCAAAAGCTGAGTATAACACTTCTGACTAACTTTGGACCATCCCTCCTCACAAATTTCTCTCAGCGTATCAATATTGCACTTAAAATCACTTGCCTTGAATAAATACATGTTTTGTCAATTTCTTAAAAAAAAAAAAGCAGAAATCTGCTTTCAAAAGTATTCATAGTTTTTAAAGTATAGCAACAACATGTTACATAGCTAAAACATTTAAACAGTGAAATGTGGTGTAACGGCCTGATTATCATTATTTTATTATATAGATGTTGTTTGTCGCCGTGAATAATTAATAAAATTAGAAAACTCAGAAAGGCTGCCTAGTTTGCTATGGCTTGGATTTTGGCGCAACACAGTCTGCATTATTTTCTGTGGTGACAGCAGACTGTAGTTGTTGTTGCTAGAACTTTTGAATCTGAAACATTCCATTTTACTTCTTAATTGTTGTAATAGTTATTTGTACCCAGAATATTAGAACGTTCAATTTAGAGGGTCGGATGCGTTGGTGTTGGACTTGCTGTTCATCCAGATCACCAACTGAGGTCACTATAGCAATTGTTGGAAAACCAAATTGAATGAAGGGGAAACCATATACCGTCTTAAAATCTCAGTGTATGTACACAATTGCAGAAATCATACAAAATTAATAATGCTCGTGAAACAGATGTAGGAATTTTCAGATCACATGGCAACAGTTCTATTCCACATTAGTCTCAGCCTTGGCTGGTACGGACTACAATCTTTGCCATCTGATGCATGTTGCAAAAATGGCAAGAGCTAGCTAATCACAGACCAATAAAACGTTCTGTGGCATTTTCATGAGTGGTTATAAATAGAATGAGGTGAAAACTGGATTAGAATTCAATACAAAAAACCAAATTCTTGGTTGTGAGGCTAATTTAACTTTGATTTAAGTTTTTTTGAAACATTTTATAACTCCAAACTTGTCACTAACTATATACACAAAAAGACAAGACTTTTTGAATGCACGTGTTTGTTCATCTATAAATCAATTTCATGAACCTTAGATTTTTTTAAGAATTCAGAAGTTCATTTTTTAAAATAGGGTCCTGGTTTTCCTTATATGAGATCATGTCACTATATGAGATTTTTGTGTTTACTGAGGTTCAGTGAATATATTAATAATCGTGCTACTGCAGAGCCTGAAAGAGTGGATTTGAACTATGCAAGGTTATTGTGAATTCCTAAAAAATAACATTCATGTGATGCTTATATTATCAAGGGGCAGAGAAGATACAAACATATTCTCTGCTATATTTATATTTGTGGTGCCAATCATGTTTCTTTCTCAAAATAATTTTTAATTGTTCATGATAATTAAACTCACCCATATGCTTTGTGCATGCTGTTACTACTGTTACTTCTGTGTGTGTCAGTAGATTGTAGACTGTGAGATTATGGTTGATGGTTTAGTGTTTTCCATCTTGTTGGGAGGATTGAATGATGGAGCATGTGTGTAATCAGGATTAAAGTCTCCCTCGCTTCTACTGTAATTCAGGTCACTGGCAGGTCAGTATACCAGCACAAACACATAAATCTGTTGAAAACAACTCATGAAATCTTTGAATGTTTATTGTATTATGCACGGAACAAGGTTAAACAGGACAAATGTATTTTAGCACATAAACACAAAAATAACAGGAAGGATATGGATATGTTACAACTGACATTTAAAAAATATAACTATATCAAACTAAAATGTGCAATATTATCAAATAAATCTTTTACTACCATAAAGATAGCAACCCTAGTACAGGATGTCTTAAACAATGATGCATTTATTATTTACGATGAAGCACTTGAACACATCTGTGTATCTTTGCGAAACACCCTCAACACTATAAACAATCCATATACTGTCACAACTATTCCATGTATTATGTATTTCAGCTAAATTAACTGTTTATTGTTTATTAAATGAAGAATGAGAGACCCCTGTTGGCGTTATGTCTGCATCATTCACTTTTAATTTTGAGACCACACCTTTCCCGCTGCCAAAGAATATCTTCTAATATGGGAAATAAAATATGTTAAGTGATGTGTGGAAGCCCACTTTCTGAAGTGCAGAGGGATTGCTATTACTATTATTATTTTATCATTAAGTTTTCTGTTTCAGATATGGCACTGTACTGTATGTTCTTCAAATTGCGCTGCAAAGACACATGCAAATGTGTGCTGTGCCACGAAACGGTGTGTTTTAAACCAAAAGATGGAAAACAAATGGTTTCTCATACTGATAAGATGTATGTGTGTGAGGAAATATCATGTAAAAAAATATTAACTGTATTAACTGCATATTGTTTTAAAGGGGTCATCGGATGCCCATTTTCCACAAGTTGATATGATTCTTTAGGGTCTTAATGAAAAGTCTATAACAAACTTTGGTTCAAATTTCTCAATGGTAGTGTAAAACAACACCCTTTTTAACGTGTCAAAATCAGTTTTGTTTTCAGCAACCCGTTTTAGTGCATGTTCCTTTAAATGCTAATGAGCTTTGCTCACCCCGCCCCTCTCTTCGTGGGGTGATGAGCCATTCCCATGAGACTGTTTACTTTAGCAGCAGAACTTGCTAACTAGCACCTTGTTAGAAAAGGAGATTTGCAAAGATTCATAAAAAACCTTATTCACTTCTTCTGTAGGTGAGGTTGGATCACGAATGATTCGCACAAACATAAACACATTTAGGTAGATCGGGAGGAGCATTCCCTTCAAAAACAAAGGTAATCCACTGCATCTTCAGCGGCTCAGATGTCGGGAGACTGCTATGTTCATTATTACATCCAACAACAAAACACCTCAATCGCTTAGGAGCCATTATTGTCTACTCCTGCTCCGACGTCGAAACAATGGCGGACTGATGACAGCTCACTCAGGGTGGGTCTAAGGTAGGGGCAAATGTTTGCATGATTAATGAGGATAGGTCACCCATTCAATTAATAAATTAATGGCTAGTTAAAGATGTAAAGGAAACTGAACTACTATAGTATTAATTAAAAATAAACTGACTAACAATCAATCTCTTGCTCTCCGTTTCTATATGCATGTTAACACAACTCAGCAGCAAATGAAGACTGAAGCCAGGATGTGGTTTTCCAAATTTTAATTAGAAAAACTTAATTTTAAAGTTTAATTAGAAATAATTTAAGTCACATAAATCACTATTTACACAACTCAATTATATTACACTGCTCATTTACAAACCCAATTCCAAAAAAGTTGGGACACTGTACAAATTGTGAGTAAAAAAGGAATGGAATAATTTACAAATCTCATAAACTTATATTTTATTCACAATAGAATATAGATAACATATCAAATGTTGAAAGTGAGACATTTTGAAATGTCATGCCAAATATTAGCTCATTTTGGATTTCATGAGAGCTACACATTCCAAAAAAGTTGGGACAGGTAGCAATAAGAGGCTGGAAAAGTTAAATGTACATATAAGGAACAGCTGAAGGACCAATTTGCAACTTATTAGGTCAATTGGCAACATGATTGGGTATAAAAAGAGCCTCTCAGAGTGGCAGTGTCTCTCAGAAGTCAAGATGGGCAGAGGATCACCAATTCCCCCAATGCTGCGGCGAAAAATAGTGGAGCAATATCAGAAAGGAGTTTCTCAGAGAAAAATTGCAAAGAGTTTGAAGTTATAGTGCATAATATCATCCAAAGATTCAGAGAATCTGGAACAATATCTGTGCGTAAGGGTCAAGGCCGGAAAACCATACTGGATGCCCGTGATCTTCAGGCCCTTAGACGGCACTGCACATTTTGCTCGCCTCTCTTTCAAAGCAGCAAAGCGTTCAATTACTCTCTCGTTGAAAGCAGGCATGTTCCTGACTAGTTCCCTCTCCATGGAGAGCATGGCCAGTGCATTCAGACGTTCCTGTCCCATTACATTTCGGAGGAATGTCTTGATTCTCTTTAAGGTTGAGAAGCACCTCTCAGCTTCAGCAGTTGTCATGGGAGTGGTTATGAGGATGTTCAACAGAGTTACAGTCTCAGAAAAAGTATCCTGGAGGTTGTACTTCAGCAAAACCTGGTACAGTGCCAGTGCACCACAGCAGCCCTTGAATTCTGGACTGTCATAAATGAGAGACAGTTCAGTCTTAAGCTTCACCTTATTCAACGTGGGGTATGCCCTGACAGTGATGTTCAGAGCCACAACAGGGAACATATGGCAATGCTGTTCAAACCTCTCTCCTTGTAGCAGCGTGGCACTCACAAGGTGGTCAGTGAATGAGAACCTTTCTTTGGTGTGGTTCAGGATTGTGTCGCAGATCTGTCAAAAATAAAGAAATTTATTTTGGTAATAAAATTAATTGTTTATTATAATAAATTAGGGTTGTCAAAAGTATCAGAAGTATCTACTTTTAAAAATGTGACAATACCAGCATTTGTTCACGCACTCAACAGATATGACTGTGATTGGCTACAATGATCATTGCTTCACACTTTTCACCAAGCACGGATCCCTAGCTCAGAAACGGATCCGCTGATAGATGTGGCTTTCAAATGCTCCTGTGTGTATCTGTGCAAGCACTCAGTCACTCAGTGGAAGCAATGAAAACCAGTCCAAAA